AATATTTCCAACGTTCCTCGTATATTGGTGCTAATAGTTAATGGATGTGCCATCTTGTATAAGTATAAGTAACTATATTGTTAATGAACGTGCAGGTAACCGTTTGTGTATGAAGATTGATCCGTTAGATGTCACACGATGTAGAGAAAGTATGGCAGGACGCCATTTTTAATCCAGATTACTTACAAATTAAATTGACTTTATAAAAACGTTTGCTCATTTATTTCTATTATATTTTTGGGTACCTATATTATATCATTGCAATGTACAGTGTGTTGTGTAGACGTATAAACATATCTAAATGAGAAAAATATTTCATTTAAATATTTTTGAATAGGTTTTTAGGTAGGTTACTTCGTTCAATAAAACTAATGCCCAATGAAGTGGAAATTCCAAATATGATTCGAATCATCCGACACGGGTTCTTCTGTTGTTCGACTTGTTCTAGATAATAATTTGTATAGGTGCTTGTAGTTTTCAATATTTTTAATAATTGAAGATAACTATTTTGAAGAATTCCTAAAAATGAAAGTACCTACAAATCAAAATTTGTTTGCTTTTGGAAAGTCTGCAATGTATTCATCATACCTATTTGTTTTAAAAACGTATATAACTACTTACACAATCTTTTGAAGTTAGGTATTTTATGTGATTTTACTTCAAAAATATATGCTAAAATTCGGGAGGGACCTGGCTAGAGCAGGAAGGATTTTTTTCCGAAATGTGTTTAGGGCTCCGTCAAATATTTCACTTTTCAAAAAGGTTCCGTCACCAAAAAAGTTGAGTACCACTGGTTTAGACTAATAATTTTTATTTGTGGCTGAATAGCCACTTTGCATGTTTCTTAGTAGTGAATAATAAATAGCATTCACAATTACAGGAGAGAAAAGGATGTGGTATAGCTACTACCGACCTATGACTCCACCTGTGAATAGCAAGATTTTGTTTCTTTTGCTGCATGTGTGTTTGCGATTCACTCCAACACAAGCAAAGTAGTACTAAAGGGTTGATCATGCCAGCTCATAGGATCATTTTTCTAGTTTTGTTTTTTTAATGAAAATAATTAAAGAATGTTTAAATTATTATTTACATTTTGTTTTAATACTTGTCTACCTATTTTATTTAAATAAATTAACTCCTAAAATAATATAATTAATTTATGTAATAAATAAAATTATACTACCTATTTAAAATTCAAATTTTCATATTTGTAATGTTTGTCCTTTATAAGCAAAAAAATGGCAACCCTGTGGGCCTGTTGTATTGACAGGCTCAATGATACATATATAGTTATATAGATTGCTCACAGCGGGTCGTTTGCGAGTGGTCATATTGACTCGCAAGTGCTCATTAATCAGAATCAGTTTAGCAAAAATGTGTTTTAAAACCAATTTTAAGCCTTTGAATATAATAAAAAAAAATAATTACCTACATATTTACTTCTATGTCTATTTTGAAAAACATGGTCAATCCACAGCTCATACAATACAGCTCCACAACTCCGGGTCGGCGTCTTTGATCTGGCGGTCTAGAACCAAGCAAGACGGAATGGTGCTATCTCTGTTAGATTAAAGGGAAAAGTCGGGCCCGGATTAAGCAATTTTTTTATTATTGAAAAAATTGAAAACCTTGACGTAATAAGGTTGGTTACATGCCATGTTAAGTAAGTTTTGGGAAATTAAATTTTTAATTTGTTTTATATCTGTCAAATATAATTAAAAAATTATTTAAATATAAATATTACGAAAAATAGCACATCTTTCGGATTAGAGGTAAAATAATTTGTATGTGGCTAGTAAAATCCTCGTTAACAAATGTTTTGAGCTAAAACAGTCACTTCACGACAAATTGTGACTTGGATCCTTTGTATACCAAGGGCTTCAATTGTTAAAGAAATGTGTCACGCTCGTGGATGCAAATCAAGTGGTACCCCGTGTCTCTGGCAAGTGTTACTCTTCGCGCAAAGGGTTTATACCTAGATAAACGAATGCTTCGACTGAGGTCTGGGAACTCTATGGTATTTTGGAATTATAAAGAATTTGTGCTTTTATTTTAACAATATTGGTTATATTTAGATGTATTCTTATTAATTGAAATACAGATTTGTAGAAGTAATACTTTGACAGTTTTTATTAATATAATATATTCAATTTTTATCTGACCATACCGAAGTAGGGAATTTTGAAACTTTATAGTAATGTGAAATTTGAATTACAATATTACACGATATTACATAATTAGTACTTATTTTAGGTAGGTACTAAATTTGTACTTGGAGAAAGTAATATCGATTTTTACAAGAAAACTTGAAAAGTAAATTAATTTAGTTCTTATTTCTGATGTAAAACTTAAACCAAGAAAACAAATAAATTGTAGTTTGTTCAACAAGGGTGGATATGATAGCCATATCACACAAAGACGAAGTTTGAGCACGACGTCGTAGGCGGAGTACTCAATCGTCTGATTGTGATATGAACAATCCACTCGATATGGTCAGTATATTTTTTCTACGACCCACTAACGAAAATCTACAAATTTAAAAAATTATTTTAGGTTATTTAGACAAAATAACTAATTTTAATAGTATATTACATTACGAGTGTGGAAAGTGACATTTTTCACACGAGTGGGAAATATTGACGCACGAGGCGTAAGCCGAGTGCGACTATCACACGAGTGTGGAAAATCACTTTTCACACAAGTGATGTACAATATTTTTCCTACGACCACAAAATAATTTCATCAAAAAATGTAAAACCAGATTATTATAATAATTAAAATGTATTTAAAAAAATAATCAACAATAATCGTATTTATTAAATTTTCATAATTTCTAAACAAATAAAAAAAAATAAAAAAAAAATTCTGGCACAGCCAGGATTCGATCGCGGTCGTTGGACGGTCTCAAATTGCAAAGTTGATGCTCTAACCAACTGAGCTAACAGGCCTTACGGTAATTGATTGATCTAATCGCTTATGTGTTTAACCAGAATAAAAAGCAAATATATCTTAGTTATTTTAAAATTATTTTAAAAATAATTGTTAAAGATAAATATCTAGGATCTAATTTACAATAATTTAACAATCATATCGATTTTAGTATTAATATGGACATTACATAGATCAAAATAGAAATTATGTGTTTGACATTTTCTGACAGCTACTGCGGAAAGTAGCATATTCTCACTTGGGTGGAAAGTAAATTCTTATTCATACGCATGTGATATAGGGCACTTTCCATAGGTCTATATAGTGTGATATGAGTCACTTTCCTAAGTGGTCGTAGGAAAAAATAAATTCGCCAATCACCGTTCATATTTTGATCAACCGACTGCTATTATTTTTAAAATTTTAAATAAATGACAATTCTGTCAAACTAATTGTCAGTATATTTTTTAGTTATTGAGATTAAACATACAATAAAATAAGTTATTCTTTTGGAAAACGTTAGCATGGATGACTAAAGGGTATTGGTTTAATTAATTCTAAAAGTGTGGTACAAATGTTATTTTTTGTAGCCAATTCTTCAAAATTATTTTAAAATATCTTTTCAATATTGAATATTAGTTCTACAAATTCATCATTTGACAGTTGCAGATTTCCAAATGTATCTGAATTGGCGTTATCATATGCCTTTTAAAAGCAATAAAAAGAAAAATCGTCTAATTCAACGTGATCTTTGTTATATTTAAGACAGGTATCGCAGGAGTGGATCCGCAAGGCTTTTATTAAAAGGTAACCACACACATACCTGATAAAATTTTTCTGTAGCAATTCGTCTTTACAATAATTTAGGGTGTTAATAATTTCATCATAAAATAAAATACAAGGTGTTCCATTTAAAAAACATACATTTTAATTTTCCAGGCAAAAACGTGACACCCTGTATATCCAAAGATATTTTTAAAATATGTAGGTATTTTTCAAATCCATATAACTTTTATTTAAAACTTTCTTGCGTGTCTACAACAAAATAATGAACAATAACGCACTAATGAGACACCCTGTATAAATTATATTTTTAACAATGAAAATTTCTTATAATGTAGTACTTATCGGTTTGGGTCCTTGAGAAAACTAAAGAATGTTTTCTTGCAGGTATAACCCTTATTAAAACAGCTTTTGACTGCACAAACTCATTCTACTCACAGCTAAAGAGTCACCAAAATAATAACAGTACCTTTAACTCAAACAAAATCAACGAAATTATAGGCTCCACGAAATTATACAATCAACGAAATTATACGCACGACTCAACACCTTACCTAAGTACGCTTCTGAACGCCAAAACCGTCTTTTCCCTTCGAAGGCGGAGCTTAAGCGATGCGCGACGAAATCGACGCAAACCGTTGCCGCCAAGAGAGTGTTTTAGCTGTATTGTATAAGCTGTGGTCAATCTATATAACTATGTATTTCATTGACCCTGTCAAATCACCAGGCCTAGAGGGTTGCCATAATGTTGCCATGTTGCCATATCATATACGTCAAAACTCACTGGTAGCCATTTTGTTTGGAATGCCTAATTAGTTAGAGAAGGACACTATCAAAAGGGCTCCTTAATTTTTCATTATTTTCTTTTAGTAATTCCGCATTTAATCCATTATTTTATTACTTTAAAATTAACTCAAACACGTTATGCTCTTACAAAAAAACAAGGACCTAAATTCTTTTGGGTTAGAGTTATTTTCTCATCACTTGCTATGTGACGAATCATTAGTGTACTGTTGAATTTGCGCCACGTGGAGTTTATTTTGATGTCCCTAAAACTTTGTCGGTATATTTATAGGATACCCTATATACATCATTTTATACAAATACTTATTATATAGTAAGAACCTCTTGGAGACATGACAGACTGACACCAAGCTACAAGAACATTGTTAGATATATTAATAACTAATGACAACAAAATTTATCTGGCTATGTTCTTGCAACCGACTGTGATTCATAAAAGACATGTTTCGATGTTATACTGCATCACTAATAGTCCCATTTTTGTTTTCTTTCTTCCAGCAGATAGTTACCAATACCAGTTGCAATCGATGTGGCAAAAATGCTGGAACACCAACCAAAGTCTGGTGCACAACTTGCGCTTCCGTGAACGGGGACCGTTGAAATCGTGGAGACCGGAAACCATGGCCGAAGCCATTTTCTCCGTACTGAAAGAGGGTCTATCTTTGTCCCAAGCAGCCAGAAAATACGATATTCCTTATCCCACGTTCGTGTTGTACGCCAATAGGGTGCACAATATGTTAGGTCCGTCTGCAGATGGTGGTTCAGGTAAGCATTTATACTTTATTACTTTTTAATACCTTTAACTACCTTTTAATACCTTTCAATGCTTTTTAATACCTTTCTGTGCTTTTCAATACCTTTCTGTATCTTGAAATACCTTTCAATATCTTTTGATACCTCTTTCAATACCTTTTAATACTAATTGTACTCCTTCGCACCTTCATACGTTCCTGTAAGAGCTATGCTAATTTGAATATGAATTGGTTACATTCGACAAGAACCACCATGGTTTCTCCAAGCATGTATAAACTACCATGAGCATATGCAAATATTTTCGAGCCCATATGAACCTTTACCAACATTTATAAGGGTTTGTAAGCCCTCACAAGTCTCAGTAAACCTAAAAGTAATTGGAGGGAGCCAGGGTCTGGAATCAAAACCTGATTGAGTGAAGCCAAAGGCTGGAACCCAAAGCCTGATCGAAGAAACCTGCCGGAACCCCTAAAGAGGTTTTAGAAGGATGTCTGAAAGGGTGAAAAAAATCTGTACTCCTTCTATATCTATGTTAAAACTTTTATAGCCTTCGTAAAGCTTGTAAGATTTTATATGGTAACTTCTATGATGTTGAACAGGTATTTTCAGGAATATGTGAACATTTTAACCCCTATGGGGGGTTTAGAGGGATGCTTGAAAGGGTGAAAAAATAATATTTATATATCTATGCTATAGCTTAAACCATTATGATGTTTAACGAGTGTTTTCAGAGTTTGTAAGAACATATATGGAATCCTCCACGATATTGAACGAGTATTTTCAGAGACATGTAAATATTTTGTTTCCTTTTATTGTAGATTTGCGGCCCAAAGGACGAGGTCGACCTCAAAGAATCCTGCTAGGAGTGTGGCCTGACGAACATATTCGAGGCGTCATCAGGGCTGTCGTTTTTAGAGATTCGCATCAAATCAAAGAAGAACCACATATGACTACATATCCAAGATTACATGTAAGAGTTTAACTATAATTTTATGTTGCTCACTCAATTAAAAAATAACTATTATACTTTTATTGATTTAATGTTTTTTACATTTTTTAACTTTTTGCATATTACGTTTTTTTGCTTTTTTAATATACCTTTCGCAGTACAATAATGTAACATATATGTATATTAGTTTCTTGTTACATAACAAAATAACTTACATGTTACATAATATCTCACGTGGTTACTCTGACAAATTTAGTTCCAATTGTTTTTTTAATGTAGATCACACTTAGAATCTAGAATATACAAATAACATTATATATTCTTTATATAACGTAAGTTAGATAACGCATACGTATTTTTTTTTTAACATATATTGTAATTATACGTATCTTGTATACCATGGTGCTTAATTTGAACTTAGGTTATCGGTTCCATAAATAAAGCATAAATATGCACACAAGACAGTTTATTTTATACTTCTTAGTTATGTAACAGGTGGGAACATGTTACAGAATAATCTGCTGGGACCTATTTTTATTTGCATTGTTATTGACCTTTCTATTGTTTATACATTTTGACTTTTTTATCTTTCGACATTTATATTTTGAATCTTTGTTTAAATTTTACGATTCAATATTTTTGCACTTTTTTCTTTGTGTTTAGGAACCAATTGTTTCAAAAGTAAAAAACAGATGTTTCTTTTAATAAAATAAAAAAAAATTAAAAATATCAATATATCAATGATTGTGAAAAATTTTAAATTATTTTCTCTCATTTCTTATAAATAATTTTTTTTAGAGCATACCCACTCAAAATCGAGATCACGAGTCGCCAATGAATGACAGATACCATAAACTAATGGTAAACAAAATTTATTTATATACATCTGTTCTCTATACTTCCGAGACATCATTTACACATAATTTTCTTTTATTTATTACTTACCAGGACGGAGTGACAGTATCCAGCTACCAAAACCAAAATTCCTGCAGCAACGGTTCCGATCCGAACGTCTCTCCAGGCGCAGCTGCAGCTGCGGCTGTGGCCGCCGTAGCCCAAGGTCTCAGACAGCAAATGTGCAGTATGGTAGCCGCGGCGCACAACCAAAGCACAGCCCATGACACGAATCCCGTAGCCAGCTTAGTCAACTCTCTAGCTTTAGCGGGCCATTGCGGCAGCATGTCGATGCCCCCCAGTAATGGTGCACCACCGATGGTAAGTTATTCAAACTCAGGTTCTTTTGCCAGATAAACGAAATTAAAGTCATTAGATTCTAAATTCAAAATCACCAGAAATCATCAGAGATTATCAGAAATCACCATAAATCATCATAAATCATCATAAATCATTATAAATCATCATAAATCTCATCATAAATCTCATCATAAATCTCATCATAAATCTCATCATAAATCTCATCATAAATCTCATCATAAATCTCATCATAAATCTCATCATAAATCTCATCATAAATCTCATCATAAATCTCATCATAAATCTCATCATAAATCTCATCATAAATCTCATCATAAATCTCATCATAAATCTCATCATAAATCTCATCATAAATCTCATCTCATCATAAATCTCATCATAAATCATCATTAATCATCATAAATCATCATTAATCATCATTAATCATCATTAATCATCATTAATCATCATTAATCATCATGTCACTATAAATCACTATAAATCACTATAAATCATCATAAATCATCATAAATCATCATAAATCATCATAAATCATCATAAATCATCATAAATCATCATAAATCATCATAAATCATCATAAATCATCATAAATCATCATAAATCATCATAAATCATCATAAATCATCATAAATCATCATAAATCCTCATAAATCATCATAAATCGTCATAAATTATAAATTATCGTAAATCACCAAAAGTCACTATAAATCACTATAAATCACTATAAATCATTATAAATCACTATAAATCACTATAAATCACTATAAATAACTATAAATCACTTTAAATCACTATAAATCATTATAAATCACTATAAATCACTATAAATCACTATAAATCACTATAAATCACTATAAACCACTATAAATCACTATAAATCACTATAAACCACTATAAATCACTATAAATCACTATAAATCACTATAAATCACTATAAATCACTATAAATCACTATAAATCACTATAAATCACTATAAATCACTATAAATCACTATAAATCACTTAAAATTACCAGAAATCACCAGAAACCACTAGCAGTGTAAGATAAAATGATACTGATGATACTAACCCTATATTTCATAATTTCATAATTTTTAGTATAAAGTGATAAGATAAAGTTTTCACTCTCTATCTAGTATTTAAAATAGGTTTTTTGGCAAAATATCCTCCTACATTTTACTCAAACCTCAAACTAGTACACATTTATTCTGGTTTTCTCGTAATAATAAGCAAATGTTGGGTCAGTAACTAACATCATCTTAGGTACATGCCACCATTTCTTCCACACCATCCCCTCAGACCCGATTCCTGGATCTCTAGTACGGCTGAAGATTCTAGGAACGCATATAGTGGCCCGCTACCAACTGAGATAATAAAATACACATCCTTTATCGTTACCTTTTACCTTATCTTCTCTCTACAGCAGTCCGTAGTACTAAACCTACTCCAAAATTTGGCCTGGCTCTCCATTACCTTTGGTTAGTACTAAGTACTTGTCAATTCATTGGTCAACATGAAGAGAAGACTTCAAATTACACCCAAGCGATAGTTTTAACTCCTAAATTACAATATACAACGACTCTAGGGAGTAGGTGAAATATGGAGTTATCAGATCACTGTTGGTAACATGTCTATCATGTTCTTATATTCATCAATCGTAGAGACGAAGAAATAAAGTCGAGAAAGTGACGTAGGACCAGAGAAGATATTTAAAAAATCTCTGGAGACTCAAAAACCAAGAAGAGCAGCTGAAAGAGTGACGTAGGACCAGGAGAAGCGTTAAAGAAGCCTCTGGAAACTCGAAGACAAAATGATGAGCTGAAGAAGTGATGTAGATCCATCGAGTTCTTTCAAGAATCTCCAGAGGCTTTTTCAGAGTTATATATACTCTTCGGCTCCTCTTCTTTTTTTTTAAATCTCTAAAGGCTTCTTCATCGTCTCCCTGACCGAATAACTTGATGAAGATGTTAGTAAAGTTTTTTCGTTAACAGCAACACAACATCGTTCATTCTAAATAATAGTTTCTTCTTTTTTTTGCAGAGTTTAAGCCACATAGTTTCGATGCGCAACATGAGCAGTCCGGCGGGTAGCATCCAGGATTTGAGGATAAGTCCCGCGGAATCTGCGATGGAGAGTCCCATTTCTTCGCCGCTCGGATTGACGGTATCTGGTTCGTTGGAACCGTCGATTAATATGCACATAGGAAATAATATGGACGTCGGCATAGGTAAGACATACGTTTTTCTTTTAACACAACACGAAATTTGGAAATTAATTATGTAGGAAATCATCAGACATTAAATTCGCCGACTTCAACTAAGTAATCAATTAGCCAACGTATTTCACAATTAATTGTCATAGCGAGATTTTTTTTGATTGTTTTCTTCATATCAATAGGGTTGAGCCATGCTGTCTCCTCTTTCTGATGCAGGATTTCCAAACTTCGGCAATGCTTGGATCTATACTTACTTTTGGTCAGTTCATTTCACCAGATGTCGCGATTTTGATTTGCCGTTAAACTCTTAAAATAAGACCGATTTGACACTATGTTTGTTGTCACACCGTTTGGCAATCCTACTGACTGCGCCACTTTTAGGTTCGCTAATAAAATTTGATTTCTATAATATGACAAAACTTTACAAAAAGTGGGACTATATTTTAAGTCTTTACAATTAACAATGTAAATGCTAGATCTTGGTGGGGCCTTATATTGGACATGCAACGTCTGCATAATTGATAATTTTGATAATTTTATATGGACACATATTTGTTACATTTATATTGTAATTTTATGAATAAGGATGATTTATTATTATTATTATCAATAATATTATTATTGTTATGAATTGCAGGTGTGTCTGGTATGACATATAAGCCAGCCAGAGCGTTCACCTCACCCAGGCCAGAGAATCTCTTCCAAGAAGATATCGACGATTTGGTCAAGCCAATGCATTCTTCCACGCCGCACCCGAAAGACACCATGGCGACTATCAAAATGGAACCCTTAGCAGAATGTCGAGGCGAATGAACAGTAAAACGATATTACAATTGTAATGTGATAAATTTTATTAATTAAGTTTTTCAGTAAACAAAAAAAGAAACGGGGCTAAAAATACCCGACATTTTATTTATATTGTTGAGAAGAAATGGAAATTTTAGTGTGTAGTATATTTTGGACAATTTTATATAATTTATCTAGAAGCCAAAGTTTTCGGCCAGTTTCTATAAAAAAAAGACTGTTGTGTATATGTATACTATTGTTCTAAATTCAAAATTAGACTATATTGAAATATCTACTGGTTTAATCCAAGAACTCGTGCTCTGGAACTTATAAAAACAGTTTTGGTATTTATATTATTTCAGATTCGTTATGGAACTAAGTAAGTGGATTTCACTTTCGGTATATTCAAACTACTGCTGGATAGTAGTTAAAAAATCAAATATTTACTTTCTTATGAATATTAAATTTTTCTTGTTTAATTAACAACATTTACTTCTTAGAAAACATTTGAAAACCTCTTTAAAATTACTTCAAAAACGATTTAGCAAAAGGTACATTTAAACTATTTTTTCAAAAAAAGTTCAAAAACATACCTTGCGAATATTTCCTATAAATATTAAGTGATTCAGGTTGAATTTTAAGAAATATACATTTGAACTATTTTGAAACCCACTGCAAGACACATTAAAGAACGATTCTTAAGGTTTTTACATGAACATTTAGGGAAACTGCTTGAATTTAATGAAAGATACATTTGAACTATTTTCTCAACACTTACCGAAAAACAGTTTAAATCTTAAACAATTACCCTTATGATGATTTTAATTAATATTACTTGTTTCTGTGTTAATTTGGGGAAAGGTTCATTTGAACTATTTTTTAAAAACTTACTAGAAAGCAATTAAAACTTTAAAAAAAATATGCTGATGACCTTTTTATAAATAAGATTGAATTATAAGAAAGATACGGTTAAACTATTTCCTTGAAACCTACTGGAAAGAAAATATTACTCTATAGAATGATTTTTAAGGCTCCTATGAACATCAGACATTACCAATTGAATTTAACGAAAGATACATTTCAACTATCTTCTTAATACTGAAAAACATTATCTTAAAAAATTAACCTCAGAACGATGTTTATAACTATTGGGTATTAATAGTTTAATTTAAAGAAAGAAACATTTGAACTATTTTCTTAAAACATATAGAAAAACAGTAGAAGCATTAAAAAAATTTCCTAAGAATATTTCATATGAATATTAGGTGTTTATGATAGATTTTAATGGAAGGTACATTTGAACTATTTTCTCAAAACATCGAAAAATTTGATCTATTTTTACAAAACTAATCGAAAAACAACACTATTTAAAAAAAAATTTACCTGAGAACATTTCTACTAAATTGATGTTTTAATTTAAAGATACATTTGAACTATTTTGTCAATTTGTTCAAAAACAGTAAAAACATTAAAAAAAATGACCTAAGATCGTTTATTTATTAATATTAGGTGTTAAAGGTGGATTTTAAAAGGAGGTTCATTTGAACTATTTTCTTAAAACTTTGAAAAACTTTAAAAAACCCAAAAAAATATTAACCTAAAACAGTTTCTTATGAATATTAGGTGTTTATGATTAAATTTAAAGACAGGTACATTTGAACTACTTTTACAAAACCAATCGAAACACAATGAACACCTTTAAAAAATTTATGTAAGAACATTTCTACTAAATTGATGTTTATGGTTTAATTTAAAGAAATATACATTTGAACTATTTTGTCAACTTATTCAAAAACAGTAAAAACATTGAAAAATTAACCTAAGAACGTTTTTTTATGAATATTAGGTGTTTAAGGTGGATTTTAAGAGGAGGTTCATTTTAACTATTTTCTTAAAACTTCGAAAAACTTTAAAAAATTCAAAAAAATATTAACCTAAAACCGTTTCTTATGAATATTAGGTGTTTATGATTAAATTTAAAGACAAGTACATTTGAACTATTTTTACAAAACCAATCGAAACACAATGAACACCTTTAAAAAATTTACCTAAGAACATTTCTACTAAATTGATGTTTATGGTTTAATTTAAAGAAAGATACATTTGAACTATTTTGTCAATTTATTCAAAAACAGTAAAAACTTAAAAAAAAATAAACTAAGACCGTTTATTTATGAATATTAGGTCTTTAATGAGGTTCATTTGAACTATTTTCTCAAAACTTGTCGAAAGTAAACCTGAGAATGTTTCTTATAAATATTAGGTGTTTATGGTTGAATTTAAAGACAGGTATATTTAAACTATTTTCTTAAAACTTATCGGAATACAGTAAAACCTGAGAACATTTTTTTATAAATAGTAGCTGTTTATGATTGAATTTAGAGAAAGGAAAATTTTAACTATTTTCTCAAACCCTATCAAAAAACAGCAAAAACTGTACCTAAAAACATTTACTATGAATATTAGGTGTTTATGGGGAATTTTAGAGGAAGGTACATTTAAACTATTTTATCAAAACTTACCGAAAAACAATCAAAACCTTAAAAAAGTTGACCCGAGAACGTTTCTTATAAATATTGAGTGTTTATGGTTGAATTTAAAGACGGGTACATTTGAACTATTTTCTTAAAACTTATTGAATGTCAACCAAAATCTTAAAAAGTCTACCAAAGAACGTTTCTTATAAATATTAGTTGTTTATCATTAAATATACATTTTTGAAGTATTTTCTCAAAACTTACCTAAAATTAAGTATTTCAGATTGAATTTGGTCAAAATATACATTTGAACTATGTTTATAAACTATTGGATAATAGTTAAAACCTTAAAAAAACACAGTGGCAGCAACCAAATTTGTCAAAATTGGCAACCGAAGCTCTCAAACGGCGGAAGCGCTCATTTCTTGGTTCGATATAACTCTTTTTAATACCAAAATTGGTTTTATATATCATTTTTTACGATTACGAGTTCATAGATTAACCTGGAGATAATTATTTTATCAACATTCCCCCACCCAGTTCGCTATACGACAATCTGTTTTGGGATTCGTGTTGTATTGTTCATATCCTAAAAATGAAAAGATCTTGTAGTAAGTTCCGCGCTACGAATATCTTTATGAAATCGACGTTGTTGTATTTCCAGAACTAATATTTACTATTTCGATGCAAATTTTAAGTGTATCTCATTAAATTTTTGTACTACCATTTTAAACTAATGTCCTAAACTTACTGAAAATTGATCTACGAATATATCAGAACGTTCCCAATAAATTTGAATTAATACCAATTGAATTTTTGGAATGATATGTTTCAACTAATTTCTCACTAAAACTAGTAATTATCAAGTACGAATGGTTGAATTTACATCCAGTTCATTTGAACTACTGAATGTAAACTGTCATTAGTCAGAACCTTTTTAAAAAATTCTTCAAAATGTTACTAATAATCAAATTTTTGAAGATTTATAATTGTGTGAAAATTTGTTTTTTATATGAATTTCTATGAATTTCTATGAATTTCGATGAATTTCTATGAATTTTTATGAATTTCTATGAATTTCTATGAATTTCTATGAATTTCTATGAATTTCTATGAATTTCTATGAATTTCTATGAATTTCTATGAATTTCTATGAATTTCTATGAATTTCTATGAATTTCTATGAATTTCTATGAATTTCTATGAATTTCTATGAATTTCTATGAATTTCTATGAATTTCTATGAATTTCTATGAATTTCTATGAATTTCTATGAATTTCTATGAATTTCTATGAATTTCTATGAATTTCTATGAATTTCTATGAATTTCTATGAATTTCTATGAATTTCTATGAATTTCTATGAATTTCTATGAATTTCTATGAATTTCTATGAATTTCTATGAATTTCTATGAATTTCTATGAATTTCTATGAATTTCTATGAATTTCTATGAATTTCTATGAATTTCTATGAATTTCTATGAATTTCTATGAATTTCTATGAATTTCTATGAATTTCTATGAATTTCTATGAATTTCTATGAATTTCTATGAATTTCTATGAATTTCTATGAATTTCTATGAATTTCTATGAATTTCTATGAATTTCTATGAATTTCTATGAATTTCTATGAATTTCTATGAATTTCTATGAATTTCTATGAATTGAGTCTTTTTATAAAATTTGCTTCAATATTTCTGAACACAAAAAAACAAGATCACGTATTTGTTTATATCGATTTGTCAATATGTAGGTAATCCCGTTGAGTGTTGCTTACATTTTTGATCTTTGATCGTTTAAAACTTATCAACATGTAATTTCAATTCTATTACCTTCAACAGACATTAATTAATTAAATTTGAACAAGTTTCAATAATATTTTTAAAATTTTTCTTGTAAACTTTATTGGTTATGACTTTTGTTAAAACCAATAGTGATTTTAATTGATTTTGATTAAATGATAAAATTTTCTACTGTAACTACATCACAACAAAAAGCATCACAATAGTATCTAGTTTTACAACAAAATCGTTTCATAGAGATGATTTTATTAATACATGTACAAAAAACTAAAGTAGATAATTAATAGTATATATAAAAGAATTTTATCTGTGTATCAAGTACATTATTTATATCGTGAATATGTTTTTCTATTCACTCTCTCTTTCACCTCCCCACCTGAAACCCCTACAGCGCAGCCACTGGTATTCTCTTCAGTGCAATAACATTGTTTTTGGTTATTTAATTCTTATAATATATTATATAATTTTTTTTAATAGTAAATCAATTGAAGAATAAAAAATAAAGGTCAGTGATTATCAGTATTTAACATAATTCAACTGGTCTCGTTAAATTAAATTATTTTTTAATTTATTTAGTAAATATTGTAATTACATCAATCTGTATAGGTATTTAAGCCATATAAAAATAAGTATCTACTACCGCTTTGTTAATTTACCGCCATTTTAGCTTCCTTGGTTCGATGCAAATCGACTCGGTGCCGTTTAACCAAATTTCCTTTCTTTACAAGCATTTATGCTCCTTAAAACTCGTCTTCGAAATTTTACAAGTTTGACCAATGTATATTTTGGAAGAAATTTTAGACGCCAGTCGTGTTTGTTGCTTTTTAACTGTATATTTTTGGTATATATAAAGAGATATTTTTACAAAAAAAAAATTAGGTCGAATGAAGCATTTAATTCTATAGAAAAAAAAAGGAAATTTGGAAAATTTAAATATGTATATAATTATAGAAAAATCAAAAATTTTATATACTTAAACGATAATTGAAATTATATGCTAACCGATAAATATCCAAACGTGCCGAGTTGGTAAAGTGTTGGTTAAAAATGTGGAATATTAGAAATTTTCTATCTCTTTTTCTTTTATATATTTATTTAAATACAATCACAAACTCATTCAGCTCCTCTTCTACGTCTTCGAGCATCCATAGGCTTCTTCAACGTCTTCTCAACCGTCTAACACGAGATCTCGATGTGACGTAGTCCCAGGAGCCTCTGGAGACTTAAAGACGAAGAAGAGAAACCAAAGGATTGACATAGGATCAGAGGAGACATTGAAGAAGCCTCTGGAGATATAAGACGATGATGAGGAGCGCTGAACTAGTGACGTTGAAGTAGCCTTTGGAAACTTAAAGGCGAACTGAAGAAGTGACGTGGAACCATCTTCAGTTGAGGAAACGTCGAAGGTATCTCCAGAGGCTAT